GGGGGGGGGGTTCAACTTTCAGTTCAACATAAAAATAAAAAATAAAAAATATATGCTGCGCGCACCTGGCACATATGCGGCCCCGCCGCGCGCACCCCCCAGTGCACCCGCGCTCGACGCACGAGCCCTGTGCACAGCGCATCGCGCACCGCGCACCCAGGTGCGCGCACACCTCGGGTCCGCGCGCTGCGCAGCGCACCGCGCACAGGGTCGATGCGCCGCAAGTATGATTTTTACTTTTTATGATTTTTACTTTTTTTTATTTTTTCATCAAGTCCAGATCGTAGTAGAGGCTGGATGCTAGGCCTCGGGAGGTGTCAAAGTTCGAATTTTACACCACCATTATTTTTAATTTTTCTTTTTTTTGACACCACCAGTTCTACTTTTGTCATGAAAAGAAATGCTAACAGACTGTACCAACAGGCCTAACTCAGTTGGTACACCAAATGAACTGTTGAAACACAGACCCAAGTTTGAAACCAGATGCAGTCAAAATTAACATAATGACGTACTTCTGACTTGCCTAGGGCCAGTCAGTTCAATAATGATATCTCAAGGCCATCGCCCTTTTGAAAAAAAAGGAAAGAAAAAAAAGAAGCTAACAGACTGCAAAGTTGTGCAAACTTGTCAGAACAAAGAGAACAGAGGAAAGGACAGATACAGGCTAACGCAATGGGTTCACCTCACGAGCCAAGGGAACAGAAGACACTTGTGAATACCAAAGCGTACCAAAGCAATGGCAGAGGTGGCATGTTGGCAACATGTTAGGGGCAGGTTGAATGGGACAGCATAGGAGGGCAAGCAGATGAGAGCACGCAGCAGGAACGAGAGCAGCTTACAGAATTGCAATGGCCGAGTAGGATACCTCAGATGCAGTACTAGGGAAATGACAGCACCCTTTTTGAGACAATAGAATAGAAGAGACGCACACCTACCACAAATGGTTAACAGGTACCCCCACTTTTCACCCCTAGGGTGACCTTCACATCCATGAAAAGTGCAGTGGGGATCATGTTTTTTTGTTTTTTTTTGTTTTTTTTTTTGGCCTTGTTTTGTTTTTGGTCAAAGCATGTATGTGCCAAGTTTGGTGTTTGTTGGGTTCCTGGAGATGCTTGTTTTGGGCAGCGGTGAAAATTGTGAAAATCAACAATTTGAAATGTTGGTAAAATTTCATGAAAGTGCACTTTTGCCTTGCTGCTTTATATGGTTTTTTTTTTTTTTTTTTTTTTTTTTTTACAATAAGTTAGTAAGAAGTGCACTCTACAGATTGGTGTGAAGTATGGTTAAAATCACCCTTTGTTTTTGTTTATAAATGGAGGTGAAAATGGGGGGTCGGTTAACCTTCTGTCACAAAGCAAGCAGGCAGAGGTAGCAACTGGCTAGCGGGCAGATTGAATGGCCGAAGCATAGGAGGAATCAGTGAGAGGAGACAGCAGGAAAGGAAGCTAGCTTGAGGAAGTGGAATTGCTAGAAGGATAACCAGAAACACAGTGAACGTCAGACAGTTGAATCACTCACATAGGCAGAGAACTATAAGAAATCTTACCAAAACTCGCAGTGAGAATTACAAATCACATTAGAAAAAGAGTCTCTTTCACTACAAGGAGAAGAAGCAGCCATGACATGGCAAGTGCCGGACACCCCCACCCGATACCTTGGCATACTTATGACAAGAGAAGGCCTAGCACCCCAAATGGTCCAGAACATACTGGCCAACCAAATCAATAAAATAGGAAGGTGGGGCAATGTCTTTACTTCCCTCATCGGTCGAGCACTGGCTCTCAACACGTCGGTCTTTTCAATGATGTGGTACATAGCCTCCATCTGGACAGTTCCGGATAGCTCTATCAAGGAGTTGAACCGAAAGGCCAGACTTTACTTATGGTCAGGGGACCCCAATAAGGAGAATGGCATATCTAAGATCGCATGGCACTATGTGACGAGGAGCCCACAAAGAGGAGGTCTAGGGATTATAGACCCTGGAACAGAAAACCCTGCAAATCAAGTGGATCATCAAAGTACTGATGAACCCAGATAGTGCATGGAACAAATTAGCCCTAGACAGCATCAGATCCATGGCCCCAAGGCCATCACCGAACGACATGTCAGGACTGTTTTGGGTAATGAACAAATACTGGGTCATAACCACAGGGCAAAGGGATCGAACGAGGGACACCAGACTGGAGGGCTATAGGCCGTCTACTCCAGACTGATCGGCGCTGCTTCAAATCTGGAGAAAAATAATTCCTCGTAAGACCAATAGACCTAGATCCAAGGATGAAGTATTAAGGCAACCGCTCTTCGGAAACCAATGGATAAGAAACGAGGCCATTATGAGGGTGATAACCCACTCTTCCTAGAGCACAGATGACTCTCCTGGGTCAAAAATGGAATCTGGAAAATAGATCACTTATGGAATGAGGACAGAAAGGAATGGAAGACTGAACAGGAAGTTAGCGCTCAACTGAAAGGATGCCACAGACGAGGATCCAACCTCCTATATATAATTGGCCGCATCCCACAAGAATGGAAAGATATCCTGACAGAAGACGCACCATGGAAACCTGGAGAATGGGGGATTATGATACAAGAAACGATTCCCTCCAGAGCCTTCCAGTTCTTCCACATGCAACAAGGCTCTCGCATCAGGGCCTCCTTTCTCTCTTTCCCGATATCCATGACCACTACCGGTATGCCAACCATCCGGAATAGCGAGGTGGAATCGACAGTTCTGGAATCCTTCTTACTTAGGAAGGTACGAGTCCTTGGCTTATGGCCAAAGTCAATCTTCAGGCCTGACACAGCGGTCCGTAACTTGGAATTTGATCCAGCTGAGTGGGCGTGGACGCCGGACAAGGCCAAAGACATTAGAACCAAAATCCCAATTTACAACTACACAGTCAAACTGGGGTATAGACTGTCTCTGAAAACCAAGAACCCAGACCCTATCATCAAAAACAGATGGCGGAACCTATTGGGGCAAGAAGCAGACAAACTCACACAAATCCAATGGAAAAAATTCAAGCTGATCAGGCCAATTAAGATCAGAAGTCTGCAATGGCTAATCGCCTATGCAGCACTACCAGTGAATCAATGGCTACACACTAGACGAAAGGTCTCAGATCCTAACAGTTCAGAAATATGCACAGTTTGCTCGGAAGGTGAAGTTGAAGATATAGTCCACTGCCTAGTGCACTGCAGAGAGGCGGCAGAATACTGGGCGAGAGCCTCGACACTCTGGGACTCACTCTTCCCAAGCCCCTTCCCTAAGCAACCCATCCAACTTCTCCTCTTGACTAACATCCCTGATCAGCTCAGAAAGGCAGAAAAGATCTGGTTTGGTCTCATCAGGAAGGTGACGCAATGGGTCATATGGAAAGAGAGATGCAGCAGAACAATTGAAAGACGGTCCAACCCACGGGAGAAGGTTTGGGTGGAAACCAGAACGATAATACAAGCCGAGATCCTGTGCAGATGGCGGAAGACCAAGCAATCATGGACAGAAGATGAGGAACAACGAAAGAAGGAGAGATTGAGGTTTAACAAAAACTGGCTGATAGACGGCAAGATTGCAGAGATGCGTGAAGATCGTATCTGCTGGAGAGAGTGGCATAACTCAGTGGCAGAAAGAGGCTTCCAACAGCAGACTACTGGTCGGCTAATGACTTCTTGAGAACCAACTGAAGAATGACAATGAATCGAAGGTTGAGGACTCAGGGATGAAGCGGTATCCAAAAGGAGAAAGGGTATGCCGGGGACAGGAGACAGGGTTGGTCACGAGCAGGATGGCTAAGCTCTTAAGACAGCTGGAAAAAGTGAACATACCCACTCTAGGAGAAATGCTATGCAAGCGGCAAAATTTAAGGCAGACGCTCCACGAAGACGGGAAACAGCGGAATAGTGGCGGAATTAAAACACGACCGGGTTACCGGATCCGAAGGGAGAGCGGGGTTCGAAGTACCACTGATGAGGATTTAGGGCTTAAGTGCAAAATATGATTTCTATAAGGGAGGTTAAGGTGGGGCAGAGGATTTTGGACCTCTCGGGTAGTCTTGGCAACATGGGATATAAAGACCAGCGGGGTCAGCGAGTGTTCTGTTTCTAGGCATCATAGACTTATCTGGCAGACCGGGTTATCGGATCTGAGGGGGGGGAGAACTCCGAAAAAAAAAAAAAAAAAGGTAGCGAGAAAGTTTGGGTGGAGACGGATATGATGATACAAGCCGGAGCAACGAAAGAAGGAGAGATGGACCTTCAGCAAGAACTGGTGGATAAAGGGCAAGATTGCAGATTTACGAGAAGACCGTATTGGCTGGAAAGAGTGGCATAACCCAACCCCAGGAAGGACTCACCAGCAACAGACAACTGCGGGTGGACAAGACATTCCATGATCAGACATCCACAAGGGGTGGATAAGACGGAAGTAAGGGTGTCATAGAGCAGGATAGTAGTCAATTTAGGGATTAAGGGTTAAGGGATTTTCAAAGAGGGTAGAGAAATTTCGGGCAGGGGACAGGGTGGCTCTCGGGTAAGGATGGATAAAAGGATGTACAAGGGACAGACAAGACAACCGGGCAAACTCTTTCCAGGAATTTAGAACTATCTGACGGACCTAGCCACCAGGTCTGAGAGAAGAGAGGGTGTCCTGGCAACCTGACAGCCAATCCTCCGTCAAGACGGCGTAATCAATGCTGCTCAGGGGTCCTTCGGCCAGACGGAAGGAAGAGTGTGTGTGTCTTAATTGTTGTGTATAATTCCGACTTGCCGGTGGAATAGGAACCAGACTGACGCTCCCCAGAATAGAAGGAGCCTTTGTTTTTTTTTTTGAAAAAAAAAAAAAGAAGAAGAAGAAGAAGAAGAAGAAGAAGAAGAAGAAGATCACACCAGATAGTGAAACAGACAAAAGTAGCATCCTCCTCTGAACCGTTTACTACCCCTGAACAGTTCCCGCCATTAACAACACTTATGACAATCGACAGCAATCACTTTCTTCACGGACCGAGGTCTTGTCCAAGAAGAAAAGCCAGTAAATTGACCTGCTCTGAGCCTAATAGACCTTCTACTTGGGACCTGGGACCTTCTGGGTCCCCAGTGGGACCAGGCCCAAGCAAGAAGGGCCCCTTAGGCCCAAATCTGTTTGACATTAGATCATTCTCTTTCTATCTGGGATGCAAAGTTTTATTCTTTGGTTAGAACTTANCCCCTTAGGCCCAAATCTGTTTGACATTAGATCATTCTCTTTCTATCTGGGATGCAAAGTTTTATTCTTTGGTTAGAACTTAGAACACTCGCTGCCAAGGGGATCTCGGCTGAGATGTTTTGTATACGTTGGCCACACGGTCCGTGGCTTGACTCGCACCTTATAGGCTTATACACCACTAAGTTCTTCATTGTTGCATGTCGTTACTCGTTGTCTGAATTTGTTGTACGTCCATGGAACTGATCAGATTGGACTCGAGGGGATCTCGTATTCGGTCTGATCAGGCTGAAATGCTGGATCAGATCTCTCATCTGAATTATTTTGTTGTTGTTGTATGGTTGCTCTCTAGTCCAAATGTAACGTCGCTCCGACTAGGAGTTCTACCTTCTCTTCTTTGAGCTTTTCAGTTGTTTCTTTGTCTGCGTTCATATTGCGATGCCCGTAGAGAATCGTGGACAAAAGGTAGAGAGAGAGAGAAGGGAGAGAGAGAACACTCATCGTGAGGGACTTGCTGAGCCTTTTTCCGTAATGCATGAGAACCCCGGTAGTTCTGACATGGCCACGGTAAATGCCTCTGTAGCCTTGAAGGCCTAACTGGATGTGGCCAACAATGACGACATATCAGTGTTCCAAGCCCTCTACAACAAGGCACTGGCAAGGGAAGAGAAGGCAGAGGAGGAAAAGCGGAAAACCGTTGTTGTGGACCATGAGGCTGTTTTTAAAAGTCCCCTCTTTGGCTGACACGAAGGTCAAGAAGGATCTGGTCAAGTATGTACATGCTCTCATAGACTGTCATCTGCTACGTGAAATGCCTGGTCAGATATCCAAATTGTTTGGCTAGGTAAGTCAACTGCAGACAGATTGCGGAGATGGCAAAGGAGCACAGTGATCAGATGCAGCAGATGACAAATCCGCATCAGGCCCGAACTCAGAATCCTCTTCCTCTACCTCCTGCCTCCAAGGCTGCTAACTAGTTAGTCTTTGCTCCTCCCTATGCCTCTACCTCTTCGTCTCTAAGTCTGGTTCAATTGGGACCTGCAGTAGGTGCAAACCCCGCTGCCGCTGCAACAAGTGACAGTGCGAGGATTTCTGCAACTACTGCAGCCTCGAGTTCGAACACAGCATTTGCTGGTGCTGGTTATAGCCGTCCCAGAAAGGCGGTACAATACCGTCTAAGTACGACCGACGTGGAGTCCTGGATCAGCTCCATGAAAGTCTACTTTGAGGTACTGGGAACTCAGTTGATAAGCAAGTCCTTGATTATGGGGACCAACGTCGAACCCGCTGTACGAGGCTTTTTAGAAGTTCAAGCTATGCAAGCCGGGTACAGTAAGATTAATCTGACGCAGTGGCTCAAGGCCACACCAGTGGCCACACTGGAAGAGAGATTAATTAAACAATACAAAGATCCACATGCTGCTGCTAGAGTAAGGAACAAGCTTGACAATCTCAAGCGCAGCAAGTGGTCGGGCACCATGCACAACCTGCAATTGTATGTAATGCGACTTTTTGCTACTTCCGGGTTCGATATGACTGCACAGTCATGCATGGATGTTGTGAAAGGTGCGGTTCCCACTACTTACACACATCGCCTAGGCAGAGATCTCATTGGATACACGGACCGGCTCTCCCTCATGTAGGATGTAGTCAAACTCGAGGCACAAGACCTCGTTTCCACAACAGGTAGCAAGAAGCCTATAGGCAGCAAGCGGTTTAGAGGCAGCAACCACTTTGTTGTGCATGACCTGCTAGAGGCTGATGAGGAGGACTATGTAGATGACCCCACTCTTGATGACAATCAAGAGCAGGACTATGATGCAACCTGTTCATCTTCAGCACATGAATATGATATTAACAATGATCAAGAGAAACTTAATGCCTTTAGAAAGTCTGCCAATGTGAAAGGACCAAACCGAAACTCAAGGAAAAACTAAGATCCCAGCCAAGCCAGAGAACGCTGCAACCAAACCTTGGACCTCCGGATCAGCGAAAGTGAATGGAAGGCTAGGATCAAGAAGGCAATTTGCTTGCATTGCCTGAAACCCAACCATGAAGTCCAAAGTTGTTATAGGCTGCAAGGAAACCAGAATGAGGCGTAGAGTTGACAAAGTTGTTATAGGCTGCAGGGAAACCCGAATCAGGCGTAGAGTTGGCATCAGCACCTTCTACATCAAGGGGGACTGAACCGGATGCAAATCAACAGTCCTCTTTTGAAGCCCCATCATCTGCTGATTCCAAGGCTGATGCATGTCATGTACTCTATGTTGAGCCTTGGGAGGAGTCCGAGAAGGTTAACTTCCACTACCACCTTGAGAATTGGGCTGAGATGAAACAACAGCGTGCCCTAGGAACAACGAAATTGATCGTTTTCAAGCTTCTCATTAACCACCGCTACCTCCATGTCTTGGTTGATAGTGGCGCAACTACTAACTTCATGTCTCCAAATGGAATACACAAGGTGGGCTTGGGAATGAGGCAAGTGGAGTTGCAGGCCCCTTGCCAAACCCAAGTAGTCAACAAAGAAGTTGTATCCTCTACGCATGCAGTGAAAGGTGTGCGCACTACCTTTGACAAAAATAAGACAGTCACACATGCACTCAACTTCTATGTACTTGACAAGTGCCCTTTCGACACAGTCCTTGGGTTGGGTTGGCTACAGTCCCAATGCAAATGGAATAGGTGGAAGACTGATCTCTTTGTGGTGCATGATGCTTTGGGAAATGAACGCGTAGTATTACTAGACAAGAAGAGTGAATCCCAAGTTACCTATCTCAATGCAATGCAGTTCTGCAAGAAGTTGCGCAAGCACAAGGTGGAAGAGCAATTGTATGTTGCTTTTGTTTGTCCTACTCATGTGCCTTCTACTTTTGCGGCTGGTACAAATCCTGCCTTGCCTAATGTGCCTACTTCTAGTATTCCTACTGCTCCACCTACTTCTAGTCCAAACGATTCTACTTCAGATCAGGTTGCCTTCACTACTAATTTGCGACCCGATTTAGGTGATCCTTTTTCTGATCCCCCACCCCCGGAAATCCCAGCAAACATCCAAAGTTTACTCAACCGATTTCGAAAGTTCTGGCTGAACCGCGTCCTCACGTGATCAATCTAACACATGATCAAGTTAGTAGAAGGTGTTGTTCCTCCAGAAGGTCGTGTATATCGTATGGGATCTGCGAGTTGGAGGAACTCCGAAAGCAAATTGACGAGATGATTGACAACGGGTGGATCAAGCCAAGTGAATCTGA